TACTCAACTGCCTATGAAGTCTGAAAGAATATGCTATTACTCCTTAAAGGGTTAAACAGAATCACCACAGGAACACAAAACAAGCCTTCACTTGTATTTATATTTTAAGCCTTCATTTCTCAAATTTCACTTTGTCCTACCAAAACCATCTATTTTACATCAGAACAAATTCTATAAACTCTTCATCCTCCCCACATTTATCAAACTAGTGAAGGCTGGGGAAGAAAAAGGGATCACAGTGTTTTGCAGAGCTGCTTAGATAATAAAATTCTGGGAATACTTCACACATCAGATCCTTCAGGCATTTCCACTGCTAACATAAACAGAAACTAAATGTAAGATTTACATTGTTATAAACTTCAAAATATCTGAAGATAAATCCCACTGAGACTGTTGCTTTCCTCAGTCCAGCCGTGTATTTATGCCCAGTGTAACTGTTGTCATGGCTGCTTAGTCAACTCATTAAAAATAACATTTCACTAGTCTCCAACTACCAGACATATGGAATCTGTTAAGAGGAAATGGATGTGGGCTCTCTAAAGTGAACCCAGATGAGCCTTTATCGCTTCAACATCACCACATCAAAAGCCACACCACTGAAGGAGCTCCTTCCACCTAAAGGATCTCAGTGCCTGAGCTTGAGAGGTAAATGCCCAATTTTGTTCCAGAGAATTCTTGGCCATTTAGAAGTGAAGCTTATTCTAGTATTCCTGGACAGGAGTGGATCCAGGGAGGTCCTGTAACCAATGTGCCCCTTACTACACAGTAAAGGTTTTCCACGCAGCTATTTTTGAAGCAACATTAAGCTCTCTTTGGATGGCCTGTCTTGGTTTTTCTGGAAGCAGATGCAGAAGAACTCAGCAGAAATCTCAGAGCCATGCTGGTACAGTCTCCTTTAAATGACTATCGCTCGTTCTACTAAACCCCAGTGTCTGCAGCTACCAATCTGCCATACAATTCCCTTTTTTCTTTTCCTGTTACAGTGAGCAGCTTAAATCTCAACTGCATATGGTTCTTTCTAGTTTGCATTTGAAGATAGGAGTAACCACACCCATTCATCAATGTGCCTGTAAGCAGGTATTTCTCCCCTAAACCTAAGATCACATCTGCCTGTAGAAGCAAGGCAACTCCTCAATACTTCTGGTCTCTGGCCAACATCACTCAAGATAAAAAGCAGCAATGACAGAAGAGGATACAGCAATTTATGTGAGAGGAGGAGACAAGCAGCTTCACACAAGTGTATCTGATAGCTAAGTACTCCCTCTCTCATATAACATCTTGGCACGTTCTGTCACTACTCTTACATTCCAATTTCCCTTTTTCTGTATTTGTTCGAATCATAATTGTATGAAGTCACTGGTTTCAAAACTGGTTTGTATTGCAATTACTTAAGCAACTCTTCGAAATTAATATATGGATCTCCCATGGTGAGGACAATCAAAAAATACTCGAGCCTAGCCTGTTTTAATCAGGGTGTACTTACACCTCAGCAATTCTGCATTACTTTGATATAATGTGACATACCCCACCACCCTTTCCTCTATAGCTGGCCCTCTCCTTCCAGGAGGGTGGTTACTGCTGCTTTGCTCTCTTCCCCCATTTTCACCCCACCTTCCCTCACTCAGGTTGGTGCTGCAGCCCACCTTGGCTGGACACACAATACCTGTACCACCTCCTGCCACAGCCCCACAGCACTTCCTATGCTGCAGGGGGTGAGGTAGAGCAAAATAAAACACAGGGGAGTGGACAAGTTGCACTAATGCTATTCATCAGCTTCCCAACTATCAACTTTTTCCTCCTAACTAATTGTAGATTAGGGAAATACTCATGACAGCAGTGGTGCCATTGCTGCACAGCCACTCTGCTCACAGGAGAATACTCCAAACCTACCAGTTTGCAACAGTCAAGGCCTTATGTGAGCAGTATTTGAAGTGAACATTGTAGCAAGCAACAGCTCTCCCCTTCCTTTCACTGCACCAGCTCTCTGGCATCTAACTTTAGAGAATCAAGCATAAACTATCAGTCTCTACAGCTGCTAACCTGGGCTTCAACATAAGCTTTGATAATTCATGTTTCAGATGCGTTTTAAAATGTACAGTAACATTTATTCAAGACTGTGCTGAAATTATCATGTGGAAAACACCACCAGCTCACATTCAGGTAGAAGCTTCCGTCTGCTAATAAAGCAGGCCAGCTCAGGCACACTCACCCCAGTTTTGCTCCGTTCCCAACCTCCTCTCCCCCCTGCCCTCCCCAAGGCTCCTTCCTGCAGTTTTCCCCCAAATAAAGCATCTGCATAGAGTTATGATGTTTTTACTTTTAGAGCTTTGATCAGAACACTTTGCTGAAATACCCAACTTTAATGTAACAAAGCACCAGGGATAAGTACAGCTTGAAAAAGCGAGACAGAATCTTCTCCTGGTATGAATAGTAACAATCAACAGTAGACCCACTATTAAGCTGATTATTTCTTGGAAAAGGTGACAATGCTCAGGAACCAATCCCTACCTTCTCTTGCAGGAACCTTTAAATCTGATAGACATGCTCTTCAGCACATCGCTGCCAAGTACATCAGGAAACCAGGACCCATGGAAATGAAGCTTCCTGAACGGTGACTGCAACTGAGCATTTCAAAAGAGAAAACTTTGTGACTGTAACTGGTATGAATGAAATGTGCTTAACGTTAATTTCTTCCAATGCTCCTGTGAGTGCAGCTGTTATACCCAACAGTTAACAAAATACTAATAAAAGCCATTATCATTCATCAGTTATATTGGTTTAATTTTGACTGTGACTTTACTATTTGAGCACACTCTGTATTTAAAGTACAATGCAACTCATAGTTAAAAGCCACACATAAGTCAGATCAACTGGATACCCATCCCCTTTTCCAGACTGACTTAAGTCACAATCACTGCAGTCAACCACTGAAAACATAATAGGTAACAAGTTAAGCTGCTCCCCTTCCTTACCTATGAAATACCATTGTGATGTATCACTGCAGTTACAAGAGCCTTTTTTATACCAGTTGTATGAAGCCAGATGTGTTCATATTATCTGCATGTAGATTTTGCAGAAGTGTCTCATGATGGAAAGTAGTTTTACAGTTTAGTGGCTTTTCTACTGCCTGTGTTCTAGTCCACATTTTTGTTCATGGTTCTATCCTATAGTTTTCCGAGTTCCTAACTTGGTGACTAGTTACAAACAAGCCAAGCAGCAAAGCCTCCATACACAAGTGCTTAAGATAGCAGTAATTACATTTTAGACTGGGCAAGAATACAAGGCTTTGGCAAATTAGCTGCAGGATGTGGTTCTATTCACTTATGTTTTGACTAGGAATTTTTACTTGCACATCCTTATTTTACTATTACCTCTTCTCTCACCCCTACATTAAATTTAGTTGGAAACTACTGGTTAGGACTGTTCATGACTTGTGGTTCCTTCCCATCTTCAGCTGTGCAGCACACGGGAATGAAGTGCATTGTTTATCTAACAACCTGTAGCTGAAGCACACAAAAGGTAGTATTACAGCGGCACACAGCAAAGAATAAACCCCAATGGAACTAGCAGACTTAGAGAAACACAAGCCTGTTACTGAAACAATGCTGCATGTCACTACACTCAAAACTGCAATTCTGAAACAGCAGCATTTAGAATTCAGAGTAAATGAAACTCTCAAACTACACTTGGGTTCTTCCAACCCAATAAAGGGCATTTAATTACAGAACCTCAGTGAGCATCATCAAGGACATCCACCTGAGAAGCACCTCCCCAAGAGCAGACATGAAATGAGCAGTAAACCCTGCAGCCCTGTAGATCTACCATCAACTCTACTACTCTACAGATGGGAGAAAGTTTCATAAACCAAATATTACTCTGCAACATGACCAGGCGTATCAAAACCTTTTTGGAGACCCCACAATGGTGCTGCCTGCCCATTACACACAAGTTACTGCTCTATCAAAGGCAGACAGCTCCCAACCTCAAGCTAAGCGTAGTTAGTGCTTTCCTTTCTCTCCACTGGAGTCCGCAACAAGGACTACTAGATAGACCACATTTCTGAAATAGTGTTTCAGTGTCATGCAATTTTTGTCAGCAGTTCAAGTTCAATACCTTTGACAAACGTCACTGGGATTACAGAAGCACAGTACCTTGATTTACTGGGCTACACATTGTAAAGCAAGTTACTGAGGTATCTGAAGAAATTCCCTGAAGGAATTGTAGTTAGGAAGCCTGCCTTTCATACCTAATTGCCAGCAAAATTGGAAAACCAGATCCACTCCTCTCATAGCATTTTAAGGTGCATAAACACACACTATCCCTCCCCTCAAAGTAAGCCCCTTTATGATCTCTAGCCGTTTTCCGGTATTTCCTCTTTCATCTCCCATGATACAGAAGACTATTCTAGCCTGAAGCATTTCCATCACTGGCAAAACCAAGTTTCAGTCAAGAAGACCCTACTGTTTTGCCATTACAAATACATCACTTTTCAGCAGTTAGTCTGAGCAAGGGAAAAATTCACCAGGGACAAGATTCTAGGAAGTAAGGTACTTTGGAGTATTTAATAGATGACACTTTAAGCCTGTACAATGCAGCAACATTAAACTCTTCTGTGTTGGCTTTTTTTGCCAGTTTGAAAAAACAAGGGAGCCAATAGTCAATGCCTCTTGATTAGAACATATGCATCTGCCCTGGGGAAAGTTCAAAGCATTAGGAAGTTAAAAAGCACATACTCACTCATAAAGCATACACTGGACCACAAGGCAAAGTCCTACCAGTTCTTCAGCAGAAGGTCTATAAATTTTTCTCCTGTCACAACAGATCTGTCATGTCTAAACTTGTCTATGACCTTACTTAGAATTCATTTCCATATTCAGACAATTGTTATAGAAATCCTAAAATGGTCCCAGTCTAAGTTGACTCCCACTGATGTGTCCTGCCTCCATAAATAATCTAGTCGTCAGTCAAGGGTTTTCTACTGGGACACATTCAGAAACAGGTCAAGTATCACAATGTTTATTGATAGATACAAGTATATAAAATCAGGGCATGAACATGTCTTGATAAATTAAGTAGATTTAATTTCAGTACTATAGAGGGACCAATTCAAATTTCTCACCATGTCATGTTTCACACCCACGAAAACCTCTTCCAAAGGGCATTAAACCATCTTTTCAGCTGATCAGTATTTGTGCAAGTAAACGGTTTCTTTTTAGAAGACTTGTGCACTTGCCCAGGCTCAAGGATATTAAAACCTAGCACATAAAGCCCATTACTAGAGGTAGAAATACAGGCAATATACTATTACGGCAACAACCATCGATTACAGTTAAGGATTCTCTGTAACAACCAAATGGATAATCAAATATTGCAACAACTCAAGTATTACACTGAGCAAAGTGCATTTCTACAGTATTCAGTGTTGCTATTCAGTTTTCTAACTTAAAAACAGCCTATGATAACTGGCAGCAAAGAAGACCCTTGCAACAGACTGCTTCTGCTCGAGAACTTATGATGTAATTATTGCATGCTGCTAATACAATGTTACCTACACATTAAAGATACTCTAAAATATTTTTATTGTAGACTATTAAGACATACTACAAAAACCTTTTGCAGAGGATATCCTATTGACATACTTCTGCTTTAAATATTGTGAAACATTACAGCGGAATGAATTTTCGCAGTGGTTAGGTCAAATGCAGTTACATCATAGCAACAGTATGTTTGCACAATTTAAGGCTTTGGCTGGTTCTTTAGTCAGCTTCTTCTTCAGATTCTTCTTCTTCGGCAGTTTCCAACCAGGTTAACCATTGGTTTACCTACAGTTACAAAGAATTAGTTTAAGGGAGCAGGAATTAATTCCCCACTATGTACTTCGGTAAAACACTGCTTCCCCCCTCAACTGATTTGAAAAATCTTTCAGCCACTCTTTGCACTAAATGCAGGTCTCTGGTAAAAGAGAGAAGTTCATCTTTCATCACTCCTTCCTAGTAGAACACTCCATGGCGTTTCTATGTATTAACAAGTCTTTAATACTTCAACAGTGTACAGAGACAAATCACTACTTCAACAATAGCAAATTTACCTGGAATAAAGCTTTGCCTTTGCCTGGAAACTCTTGAGTAATATCTTCTTTCCATGCCAAGAAGGCTTCTTCTTCAATGATCTCCATGTCATAGAAATGAACAAAGAAGCGCAGTAACATGCCTACAGAAGTAAATTTAAACTCTGTTAGCTTTATCACCTTCTGAACAGCTTACCTGACTCCAAGAAACGTAGCATCAAGCCAAAAAGCCATACAGACACAAGCAAGCAGACACACGCTAAAACTTGGTAAGATCTGATGCACATACCTTTCGGAAAGTTATTGTTGTAGCAGTGCACCTGGAGCGCATACAAAGCGCTCACTTGCAGATCAACATGGTCATGGAGGAACTTCTGCATTACCGGCTTGAAGGAAAGAAGCAGTTGTTTTTCCTGCTCTAGCTGCTCTTTAGATGGAGCAGATGAAGAATCCGATTCGTCACTAGGTGGGTTTACTTCACTAGAAATATACTGCAAGAAACTGGACAGAAAGTTGTTCTGTAAACCAAGACGTAACATCTAGATTTCACGTTCTAAACCAGCAAGTACTCTCAAATTTAGTTTGCTATTACTGAAAATACCCTCCTAACTTTTATCAGTAGTTAGGTGCGTACACTGTGGATTAGCATTGTGGTTGACTGAGCACCACGAAAATCCTAGCTTTGCTTCCCTTATGGCTCAAGCATTTTGGAAAAATACGCAAGCCTAGACTTTTCCTTCCTAAGGAAAGGCCACAACACTTCACACAGATGCAAGCCTTTACATCTAAATTATAGTGGCTGTTTAACACAGGGTTCACTCAGAACCATTTACATTCCTGTGTACTAAATGTTTTTCTGCACAGCTACATGTCAGCCTTTAGAGATTTAGTGATTTACTGAACTACATCAAGATGGCAACTCACCTGGTCATCAATATATTCACAAATCCCTTATCTACATGAAGTTTGGGTGAAATATTATCTTTAATCCACTTATAGATGGCTTGAGGGGATGGATCCGATTTTATTTGCTTTAGCAGTTCCTTCTCCAGTTTCAGAAGCGGGAACAAGAAACTAAGTCCCTTCCCTTCTAAGATCTCCAGCATGCGGTCCTTGTTCTGGTCAATTTCTGACAAGCAAACAAGACAAACACTTAGCTCAGGTGCTAATCAACTGCTATGCTCAACGGGTCATGGGTTTAACAACCTCTTAAGAAACACCAAACCTAATAATCATGACACTCAGTATCACTAAAATAACTCTGTGTATTATTTTACTCTGGTGTAAAAAGCTAGTGAAAAACCATCCAGCATTCTCATCAATATGGGGTGTCAGAAGAGCCACATGGTAACTCTTACCTGGTAACATTTTCTGCATATTCACTTTGCTTTGTTGAAACAATTCTGTTAGCCATTCACGATCTTGTAACTTAGCTAACTGCTGAAGGCAAAGCAGGAAGAGAGGGAAATGGGTGCCACTTTCCAGTGGTTGAGCCAGTTCGGATATGCTCACCAGTTCTGAAATAATGGCACGCGCTGCAAACTGTGCTAAGTATGATTTCACCAATGGGATGTCCACCTCCAGTTTGGGGCACTGGTCCAATACATTCGGGAATGCCTAAGAAACAGTACACACAAACGCTGAAAGCCTGAAGTAATTTTGTTCTTGTACACAGTTAATACTTCTACTACACAGGAGCATCACGCTTCTTTTCTGCATTGAGTAACTTCCCAAGCAGTCCCCTTCCACAGTTCCTGAAGTCCTGTACCTACACTTCTTCATCATTTCTTATGCTCCTCATAGGTTTATACATTATGTCACCTCATGCATCAATAGGACTTTAAGTTTGCACACTGCCTTTATGCAAGCTAAGCACCACAAACAGCCAAGCACAACGACTGTGAGCCTACGAAACTGTATTACCTGCATGAAGTTGTCACTTGTGGCTATTCCCTCCTGCTTGAGCAAGCTTATCAGAGTACTTGCTTTCTCTTTGTCTTCGTCTGATCTATCTAGGGACTGAATGATTACTTTGCTCAGCATCTCAGGAATGAAGTGTTTTGGAGCTCTCATTTCTCTCACAGTATTGACAGCATCATTAGCATTTCCATTGTTCAGATACTCAGTCACAACGGCTTCCTAGGAAAAAAGTATAGTTAAACTTTCACTTTTAAAGGGCATACATATAAAAGGCTTCAAGAAGCACCATTACCTACTTAACTTACAGTTTGTTTAAGTAGCTCTTCTTTAGACGGAGGTGGTTTCTTGGTGGTCTTCGCAGGCTTTTCTTGTATAAGCGGTGGATTTGTTTTAAGACCAAGTTGAGGAGGCTGAAAAAGATAAGCAGACCTTGTTTCTTTGCAGCACATCTACTTACATTTGTATCAAGTTTAAGAACACTAAACATGTACAAAAGCAGATGAAAGTCAAATCAGGTTTTCATACATTGTTTTTAATATATCTTGGTCTTTGCAATGAAAGACTTCTGTCTCCTCATTTTAGAGACTTGTTTTAGTTGTGTGAAGTGATTAAATATAGCCATCAATATTAAGTAATTTTTATGTTTACCTGTCCCAAAGGTGGTGTCTGAGTGCGTGGTGGTTGAGCACTGGGAGGAATCATAGTTATCTGGGGCTGAAGCTTTGGCACTTGGTTTTTATTCATTAGAAAAGACTGAGCAGGTCTCAGGCTAATCTGTAAACAGATTAAGTCAGAGAAAACCTCAACCTGTTTCAATTATTATGACTAAGAATACAGAGCCATGGACAAAATACCAACTGATCACACTGAAGCATGACTTTTCCATTTCTACAATGTTAACACTTAGATACAGATTTAGCCATATGTACTCACTTCCCCCAAAAGCACAACTTGATCGTGTGCTTCATGAAAGTAACTAGTATTTAGTTCCACTGGTATATCTGGAATTGCTCCTTTTAGATGCAGTATGTTAGAGACCCCAAAAACATACTTAATGCATTTGCTGATGTACTTTATAGCGAAGATAAAAACTCTACCAATTGCTCAGAAATCAGGATACAAGTCTGGTTAACACTCAAAATAACAATGCAGTTCACCATGCATTTGGCATTTTGCCTATTAACCAGTCCTAAAAAAAAAAAAAAAACCAAACCAAACCACAAAAAAGAACAAAAAAAAAAAAAAAAACCAACCAAAAAAAAAAACCAACCAAAAAACCCACAAAAACAAAAAAAGGGGGGAAAAAGAAAAATTTAGCCTGGTCCAGCATTTCAGGGTTTATGAAGTTCAGGATTTTCTGAAGTTTTAATTAAATGTGCTGCTCTCAGTATGATGCATGGGAACTGATGTCAGAGTAGTACTCTTGGGGAGGTGTGGGGGAAGGAAGGGACACCCCAAGAAATTGCCCTCATATCTCAGTCTTGCTCATAGGACGCTGGATACCCTAAGGAAAGTGAGGGGGGTAAGGTGAAAGAGAAAGGGACAAAGGAGGAGGAAGAGGAGGAGAAAGAGTTCCAGCATTAGTCCTCATAATAACGCGTCTTGCTATAATCATTGGGCAATATTGAGAATAGTCTTTTAAGTAATGTAGGCATGTCATGTACCTCATCTGCATTAAGCTGTCCTTTCTTAGAAAACCGAGGTGGCATATCCTTCGACTGTCCTTGTTGCTGGGATAAGAGTCCCTGATTCTGGTTATGGTAGAGCTGGCTTTGCCCCTATTTCAGAAAGGGAGATATAGAGAAAGAAGTGCAGATGATGGAGTGGCGTACATCATATGGTAAGTAGTACCAGAGGGACCAGAGGCACAAAGATTCTACTTGCCAGGAAGGGAGAAAGAAGGAGCAGGGGTGGTGGGAAAGTAGCATCTATCCCTAAAAACAGGGCTATCTTATTTAAAACACACCTTTCTGACCCACCAAAGCCACATGCACCTTTCCTTGCAGTTAAAAAAAAAGAAAAAAGAAAAAAAAGAAAAAAAGAAAAAAGAAAAAAGTGTATTCCTTGCATCTCTTGCACAATTTAAAAAGTGGTTTAGAATTTTTGTATCAGCTGAGCACCAGTTCTTATCAGAATAAATTCTGAGGAAGTCTCTGAACATAAGCAGACTATAATCCATAGCACAGGCATCTGTAGAAGAGCTTCTAAACAAGCCGAAGTCACCCTGTGAACATCTTCCTTACCTGATTTTTCAGAAAAGATTTGCCTAGATCTCCGAACTGTGATTGAGCAGAAGGCATGAGGTGACCCCCATGGCCATTGAAAAGTTGGTTTGAACGATGGCGTCCCATGGTGGGTGAAAATCTGTCCTGAATAACCCCTGGACCAGTACCAATTCCGCTACCTGTATTATGGAGAAAAAAGACAATTTTAGTTCTTGTTAAATATAGCACACCCAGAGTCATCCCAGCAGTCTTGCAGTTTTGAGTGTACCTGGCATTTGTCCAAACATATCAGCAAGCCCTCCGAGTGGGTCCCTGTCAAGTTTCATCCTGGGTGGCATAAAGGGTCCCTCCAGAAAGAAGTCGCCTCTCATCCCTTGAGACATAGGAGCAGGAATAAAAACTCCCAGATCCTTTAAAATAGGAATTACCATTTTGGTCAGTTTGAAGTAATACTCCTCGAGAAAGTCAAACTTTACCTCTGAACTACAGCAGTACATCTGATTTTACTTTACTGTTACACTCTGCTGTGAGAACTACTGTTAAGTGCACAGCCTAAGTTTTGTGACATGGAGTAAGCAGCGTAAGGATTCACCTCTAACACTTAAGCAAAAGCCAAGCACAAGACTTTACACGTGACACTTACTTTTACTGCATCTTGACGGATTTGATTGATAGTCTTTGGTCCATTGTCAAGAAAAGCTTTGCGAGGAACCCAGTTGTGTTCTCTCAACTCCACAGTATCCTTGGAACATAATGAATTATTAGAAAAGTAATCAAAACAATTTTGCAAAAAAAAAGAAAATAGTAAACTGTACTATCATCCTACCTGCAGCAGGAAACGAATCCTTGCTGGCAATTCCTTACTTGACATCAAGGAGCGCATTCGGGCAAAGTACTGATCCATTAAGGACTGGAGAAACAAAAGTGAGGTTACAAGTGAGGGCTAATTCTACGTCTTGAGTATTTTTAGGGAAGGTGATCACATTCAAAACATCCAAGATAAAACAGAAGAGACTGCCCCTTCTTCCTGCCATCTCAACCTCCCTAACGGCAGTAGAACTTAAGGAAAACTAATGGATCAAGACATCTGAATCAAAGGTGAAAACCTGCCAACATCCTCATTACTACACCACCATTTCAAGTTTACACTCAAAACTCAAGCCGAGATGCAAAATACACTTATCGGATCACCTAGCTGCGTTTAGAGTAAGAGTTCCTCAGCACATCTTTTCAAGCAGTATTTAGAGGACAACATTCTCACTTTCATCACTTCCCAATGAACCTAACTGCATTCTGGAAAGACGTTTAAAACCATTTTAAAGATGGGTTCCTTTTGCCATCAAGAGATTTGATGCAGTAGCAGTACTTGGCACTCTCATTCTCTGGAATTCACACCTTGGTTTATACTTATGAATGTTACACTGAATACAGAAGGTTCAGGTAATTAAAAGTCTTTGCCATAGAATTTAAGTAGTTAAATGACTGACGGCAGTGGATATACACATACCTTGGCTTTTGCATGGTCTAATCTAGGTCCCACTGTCCTCATTATCTGACAGAGGCACTCCAAATCCTCCCCCATATCTTTGAGTTGGACTCTCTTCTTCTTTTCCAAAAGCTGAAACATTGAAGGGGAATTAGATACTTCACCATACTATAAATGAGAACTTACAATAACTGACAATTCTGTATACACACACATGCAAAAACGTCATCTTGTTCTGACATCAAATGATTTGACAAATAATTTTCAAGAACTGATACACCCAAGTATTTCTAAGTGTTTATGCTTTGAAGTGCCTGTGGTACTTCTCTACAAAACTACATCTTCACTTGGAGACAATTCCCATGACTGAACAAAGACAATTTTACTTTCTATTCGCACCAAAAGACTATTATAAACAGCAGGGGGTAGATAACTGACAGGAAACATTTTTGTGGTATTTTATGCTCCACAAGTCCCAAAGCAGCATAAATATTACTTTTTTTTTTTGTGTGTGTTTAGAAGTTCTATTTCACTCTTAGCCAGTGCTTTATCTGAGTACTCACTGTTTTGATGCACTTATGAAGGATAGATTCATGAATAAGATCAAGCTTGCCAAGTTCTCCAATGAATTTGATGTTCCCCAGCATCTTAATCTTGGCAATGGCTCTCTGTTCCTCCTCCTCAGGGAGGAGGGGACCATCATGCTTATCATAGACTGGAAAACAAAGAAGCCTGTTTAACACAGCTGTGGAAAGACAAGATAAATTAATTCTGTATTAAAATGGTTTTAAAGCTTACTATCAACATTTCTGGTTCGGTTTTCAAATTCATCTTGAAGTTTAGATATTAGGAGGCGTCTGAATGTCTAGAAAGAGAGAACAAAAAAATTTAGTTAATCACTGCAACTATACATACTAGCAGAATTTATCATTCCAGGCTGAAAGGTATACTCACTGTGCTTTGCTTCTGTCCTGGATGACTCTCTGCTGATGGGCCATCAAAGTTGGGTGCATCTTCTGCCAGTCGCAGACATAGTTGAGCATACAGTGAACTATACTTGGGCTCTTCAAGGGCTTTGTCTACGATCTAAATAAATTTGAGTAAAGTAGCATGTAGTAGGATGCAAATGTTATTAGCTAAGTCAGCTGCAAGACACAATGGAATATTATCACTCTATATAATCTGGAACATCTAACTTTCTGGCTATTTCAAACACATAGAAATAATGGATTCTGTTTTAACACTACTCTTAATGCTGAAGCAAAGGATAAGAGCTACTCTCCTACCAAGAGCTTCTAGAATGCTTAGCCAACAAATGGCACAAGTTTAAAGTTTATCATTAGAAACACTGAAGTTCTTCCCAATCTGATCTTAGATTAAACAAAGTGACATGATAGTTAAAACAGAGTACTAAGAGGTCACCTGTGGTAGCTATTCAAAGAACATTAGGCTTCCTCATCAGGGAAACAGGAAGAGGAATGGAAGGGGGGGCAGGGAATTAAGACTCCTAGCTACCATCCCAGATAAAAAAAAAAAACAAAAAAAAACCAAACCCCACCTAAACCCAAAACCAAACCCAAAATAACAAAAAGCCCCCCCCCAAAAACACCCCACATGGAACAAACAAACAAAACCCCCCACCCAATCATGTTTAGTCACTCGAGACTGCTGTAATAGTAAGTTAGAGCATGAAGTCCACTTCCTCCCCAGTATATCCTTTTTACACTAAAAGCAGGTATGACATTTCTGTATGCTTGAATTATTAACACTAGCAATGTTACTTCTGTATCTCAAAAACAACCAACTTCTATTTTTAACATGCAAGGAAAGCATAGTTAAAAGAAATGCAGCCAGCTTACCAGCAGTATGACCCCTTTTAGGATGAGCTTAGATTCTACACCCACATTGAGGAGCTCAAGGCATAGCTTGTCAAACTTTTCAGGAGTAAGCTTATTTAGTATGCTAAAGAGAAACAGGAAAATAAAGATTCAGATTAGAGGTACTCTGAGCATGCTACAAATAATTTTAGATTGAATTTTTATTTCTTCAATCTACTTAACACAAACTGAAGTGCAGACTTCCATTTACTTAGAAAAAAATCTTTATATTGTAAAGTATTATTAATAACACTAACCTTCTCAAGGTTTACTTCACAAGTATTTGCTGCTGGCTGGCCTATCAAATTCTGCCTTCTTCCCTCCAAAGAACATCATATACTCCCCCCACCCACCCCAAAACTCAAGACCCAGATGTCTTCCTTTCCTCCAGCCCATTTATTAGGTATACACTGCTAAAGAAAACCGTTAGAAAAATAATCTTAGACAACTTACCCTCTTACTTTCCTGAAGATTGCATCATGTCGTTCTTTGTCGTTTGCGGAGTCGTCATCTCGTCTAGTGCTTCGTGAAGGAATCCATTTCTGAGCGTTTTGCCCTGGGGTTTTCCCCAGGAACTCGCTGTAAAATTTTTAATAATACGATTGTCAAACAAAAACAATTTCAAGAACTGGCCTTCTAGCCTTTCACTACTGCCTTAGTCTAACTCTGTTACTAGTTTTGTTAAGAGCACGCACTTACAAATACTGCAACATCCATTGCATAGTGTTCACTCAACAGCAATAAAGAAACACAAGAAAACCCTCTAAAGTGAAACACATGAAAAAGCCTGAGCACCTGGTATTACTCATGACACTTTCAACAGATTATATGCTATCCTGCCACAGACCACAGAACATTAAGATGTCATGAACTCCTTAGATATTCCTCATAGAACTTTTAAGAGACTTTATTTTCAACTCAGCATTCACCATCAAGCAGTCTCTGCCTTTAGAATCACGCCAAATCAAAAAGCAAGATTATATACCTGTTGCTGGCAGTCTTGGGATAGTGCTGAGGTGCACCCCTACCACCTCCTCCGCCTGAAGAAGCACTGTTAAAAACAACCATGAGATCTTGTGTGAGTTCAAAATCCTAATGTATTCAATTACACGTCACTTTCAGTATACGTTTACGATAAATTTCAATTTTCTCCAGGTAACAGTGCTCACTACTAGGTGTTCCTCAAACAAAACAGAAATGCCCTAGTACCTGAAACGAGAAGCACCCCCTTCTGCAATCGCACTCTCCACTTTGGCGGCTTGACAACGAAGAATCTTCAAAAGAATAAAATTAAATTGACGGGGTGGGGAAAAACAAAACCTAGAAAGACAAATCAAGCGTTCATATTACAGTTGTTTTACTAGCATTCACAGTATCGAACTTACAATAAAAATACAAACGTTAGTTAGAGAAGGGGAGCCCTCAAGCACTATACTTCATAAGTATAAAGCTCTTACTTATGCAATATTTGAGATATTCACAGAAAAGCCAGTTTCATCATTACAGCCATGTTCACCAACGAAGATGAGGGAGCACAGCTAATGGAATCACGGGCTGAGAAATTAAGTGCCTCAAATTCACTCTCTCAACCACCCAAAAGCACTTGCAGAAAAAAGTGGTGGTTTTTGCAACCCCCTCTGCTAATACAGTACGATTAAATAAATCCTTTATTGTCATGCTTTACAAACTATGCTTGACGAAGTAGCCAAGTTTCAAAGTGAGAAGTACCAGACCACAAAATACACACTAGTAATATAGCAAGAGTAATGCATTCTACATCCAATTCCAAACAGCCAATTATGCCACTTAACAATGAAAAAAATATCACTCCCCCCACCTCAGATTTCAGCTTGCAAGACAGCAGCAGGCAGGAAACTCACTGCACTGCGCACGTTGCAGAAAGCAAGTCACGGGGATAGAAACTCCCGAGCAGCACATAAAGAACCGCACAAGCATTTTCAGGCTCCATCCCAGATGTGCTCCGACACCTTACACACCGAGCACAGAGTCACCTCCTCGGAAAGCCTGACGGACAAACGTCCGACGGAACGCACCACTCCGTCCCCGCAGCCCCCCGCCCCGCTCGCCGCGACGGAACCGCCCGCGCGGGCACGAGGGAC